TTAGGAATGGTCGGGTGGACACGCTTGAATCCCAGTTCTAATATTCCCATAGAAACTCAAATCCATTACCTTTTACTTCAACAACTAATGTGTTAACCACTTGGCTAGTTATTACAGATAGCTGCTCATTTGTGAATCAGGTATGATATTTATATCATTACTAGGATGGTCTGAGTAATCAATACTATGGACAACCTTGGACTTTGGTCGTACTAAATTACATTCATTGTGCAGTTATAATTTCTTGATTATTAACTGAAACTATCGTATAACAGTGTGGAGTAATATTATTTGAATTGAAGTGAACTTTTTTTTCTTAAAATTGTTTTTGCAGGCTTTAGAATCATTAATCATAGATGTAGAGTAGTTATGAACTGAAACGTTTTGATATTATATTCCGTTGTACATATGTTGTTTGTCCACCTTTACAATTGTTCTTGATCATGTTTACTTCATTGAAAGTTTAGTCCCTGAAATACTCTCCATTTTATAATAGCAAACATTTGGATGATTTGACAGTATGGTTGATTTTTTTTTCGATCACATCTTTGTAATTCTTTTCCTAAATCTTAGATAATTTTTCCCATCATTTTAAGCGAAATATTTCAATTCATCAATATGGTGAATTGTATGACCGAAACATTCCTGAATATCAAAATCTGATTAATATAGAAAAATCAATCAAATTACTTGAATCAAATTGGTCTGATCAAACAATTTGTTCATTGTTGCCTAAAATATCAAATGATAATGATGATGGCGATCAATTCTTCATAAAAGATAAACATGAATCTGATAATAAACAATCAATTGTCGAAGTAATTCATAATACAAATAAAAATACTGAAAATTGTTTAATATTTCCAATTCCTGGTGCATTCAATACATTTGAAGTGAAAAGAATTAAATCAGTATTTAATTGGAAACAACGGATATAAAGAAAGAGACAAAATGAAAGGAAGAAATGAACAGATTAAATTATGTTATAAATAAATAGTGTATTTGTAATAACCCAATGAGGAGAAAAATTAGATTTTCTGACGTTTCGTGACTTAGTGTAAATCACTTCTTCAGAGAATAAAAAAATTATGGATGAGATTATTTTTTTCGACATTTCGTTAAGACATATTATTCTGAAATAAATGTAGATGGTTGTAGTTTTTGTCTTATAATGGTGAAAAAGATTTTCGAATGTCTTGCTGAATGGTTCTTATATATTTTTTTCTAATGTAATGTCATTGTTACTGTTAGGAATTGTATATAATTCATGAAAATCTATCATCTAATAGAGATTTCCAAATGTCAAACAGAAGAGTTCAAGAAAAAAACTGTTACCAAATAACAACGTATAACATATCCATTGGACAAATTAGTAATTCATTAGTTTACTTGAGTATGTGTTAGTATTTGAAAATAAAAGATATTGAGTTTGGTTCAAAATATGAATAACAACACTGCGATACAGTTACATTCAAGTGATGTTTGATTTCTAATTTAGATGGAATAAGCTTCCTATATTTCACTGTTGGCTACTAACCAAAAATATAAGGACCGTGTAAGTATAGATAATACTGAGATCTTCTCTAGGAGCCTTCATGAACCAGAATAGACAGGTCAGATTAAGGAAGATAACACAGACGCTTTTCAGTAGTATTAACTCTTATTACTTTTAAATATTAGGATGTTATCAAATAATGAAAGTCGTCGATTGGGTTATAATCAGTCTTCATGGTTAGGCAGGTTCGCCCAATCTCACCATTCCTTTCCGACTTTGTTATCGACGACATCCTACAAATAGCTCTGATTGAAGTATGGAATGGTGGTGTGGATCCATCACGTAGAGAAAGACTTTTCGATATTAAGTACTCTGAAGACAGTCTTACTGTACTGTGAAACTCAAGCTACGGAAATCGTACTTATTCAGTTGGGAATCAATGTTCGTAGGTAATAGCACGTACTTTGCATCTTTTAAGCGTTAAGTGGTTTTAAAACACCACCAACAGCCTCAACTCGCACACACTTTCTGTAGTGAACCATCAGTAGTCGAGAAGTTCGTGTTTCTGTGTAGCTATGTAAGTGCTAGTGGTGGCATGAGTGATGATATCAATTTACGTGTACTGAAAACCAGAATGACTTATCCCAGTCTACACCATCTTTGATGACGTCGTAATGTCAGTCTGTCTGCGAAACCTAGGGTCTCGGAGTTAAGGATGTTCGTGAGCTCAGCACTCAATTATCCGTCGCTTAGTGAGTGTTAACATCGAGTCTAAACGTCATGTCAATAATGTGGAGATTCAGCACTATGTATTCGCGAACAGTGATGGTAGCTCGTTTAGTGAATCATCTTCAAACACCGCCTTCGGTAACTTGGACCTGTCCTGAGAATTTCAACACGGAGACTCTACCTGCCGACTCCGAGAGTGGTTGGAAAAAGTGGAGTTTACGACATGGTGCCGTGGCATGAAGGAAATTTGTATAGAACTGGTACCTGTGAGCCCGGAAGAGGTCTTAGAGATGGTGCAACTTAGTGGATTGAGATATTATCAGATAAGGTTCTGAATAGAAGGCAATGGTAATGTTGCCGTAGTTTACTTATACATCCTTCATAAAAGTGGAAGCAACTCATTTGATAGAAATCTTTACTGGTTGTTTTTCCGATTAAAGTGTCGCTCTTACTATAAATTAATCTCACTCATTTACTTCTTCACACATTTATTCACTTTGAATATACTCCCCTCTCCTTCATCTATCTCTTCGAAATGCCATTTTTATCTACAAAAGGAAATAATTATATTGGTGCCCAGTTGTATCACTATTTATGTGCTTATTGCTATTGTTAGTGAATATCCCAGCTGATTATGTGTTGCTATTCTCAGTAACACAGTAAATATTGAAGTTAAACTTGTTGCTAGAATGTTAACATGTTAAACCAATATCAACATTCAAATATCATCCTAATATGGCATAAACAACATTATCCTGTATTACATTATTTTAACGTCATCAAAAATTAAAATAGATAAAATGTCATTTTATAGTTAAGACAAACAGCCAGATAGTTTATTTGTAAGAGCTGTTTGAATTTCACTGTTGTTGATGTTAAGGACTGGGTTTGAAAAATTTCATTTTTTTGGCATATGTGCATCCTATGCCAACAACCTTGATATTGTCATTCAGTTACGAGGCATTATCTAACTCTGCTTAAAAAATACTTGTAATTTGAAGGAAGTATTGAAGTAATTGATCACTATCAGTTCCTAACATCAAAAACAGAAGATTGAAAAAAAACACCCTACATAATGAATTAAAATTTACCTCCGTTGTGTAATCCAGTGGTTGTCTGAACTCACTAGCTAAATACATGGCGAGTTGGGGGTTTATGGGTACTGAGTTCGAGTCTCAATGTGGACATCAACATTGGGTGCAAGTGCATTTACCTGGAGCGTCCTATACAATACGAAGCACATGTCCTTAATTGCACTACTCTCAATTATTCAGATGTTTAAAAATGCTAAATAGTTTTTCTGTTAAAATTCTCGATTCTATACTAGAGTATACACGTGATAATAAATTGCCAAACGACTGATTTTGAAGATATGTTCTTCGAATTGAAGAAAGAACACAGAATCCTTGAAATTCTTTGTTATTATTTTAAAATATCTGGTACTGAAGCTTTGCCATTTTCAATTTGTAAAGATAAATCCTTCAAATTAAGAATTGTCAATAACTATATTTCCAACCGGCTGGAGTGCAACCATACTGAGACACGTGATAACAATGGCACTGAATAATGAAATTTTAAAAAATGGATTATTGGGTCGCAACTCAATGCTCATCACGAGATCTGACGACCCTGAGTTAGGTTTCATGTTTGGTTATGATTGTGCACTGATGTAAAGTTTACAATTACGATTAAATACAGTAGTCTGTCTAATACTTCTTCGTTTTACATAGTTCATCAGATGATGTCATTTCCTGATGCAAACTGTAGAATTTTGTCAGAAATATATTTCGATTTTTGATTGCCACGAAGTTTATCTAGTTTCGGAAAAGCGTTCTCTTTCATTTATTAAATAATGTATCATTATATACAATCTGATTATTGGTCCTTTGACAATACAACACGTAGAATAAATGAAAGTGATATGTTGAAAAAATTTGCAAATTGAACTGAAAACTGGTCTCACATATTCACATAATCAATGATAAATATGCATCGAAAATTTCTACTGATCATATGGAATTATGATGACCCCTAGCATCTCTATTTTCTACTATTTTACAAATTAACTCTAAACGTTTATAAGCCGAGTCTGGTATAAACCAGAAATCCGCATTCGCAACCCCTCGCAATGGCTTTAGCTGTCCCTTTATCGATTGTTTAACCTTTCAACATGGAAAACTTTTCTGGTTTTCAAGGGCATGGACAAAATAAATATATAAAATCAGAAATGTATCACGATCATATCTCTTCGGGCGACAGTATTGAAGCTCTTTGTCGTAGAATACAAATTTCTTTACTTGCTGATAATGCGCTCAATGGGATGAATATAACTGAAAGATTGTGGTTGTATAGCAATGCGATAGACTGTTTACCTACTTTAGTGGAACGCATCATCAGGATTTCTGAATTCCTTTGATTTCACAGACTTACAACAGACAAATAATGGCCTATGTTTGATAATATAGCACAGAAACTAATTACCGATTTGATAATGAATCGCTTTATACCAATTAATACTATTTTATGCAAAATATTATACATATAGAGTACTAATTGTGCATTCTTATTTCAAGTTCCATACTAGGACGAAACGGCCGTCCAGTGCTTTCAGGTTTTTAATGGTGATCTAACATTCATTAATTCATGATCTCAATCGAAAACTTAGCAATCTCCACAACCCCATACTGATCATTAGAATATCACTGACGATTTATTGTGGTTGACGAATGATTTTTATGTAAGATTTTAGTCAATAGATTTTAAAAATTACAAGAATCACAGATAACTGTTTAAATTTAATACAAATTTAATCGAGTACAACGGAGAAAAGGGTGAAATTGTTTCATTTTACAATGATATGACATTTTTTTCATCAATAAGACAAAAAACAAAGCTATGAATGAATATTATACAAGAAGAATTTCAGAGAAGTAAAAGAAATAACACAAATTGTAGTTCAGTTAATATACTGAACGCTGTGACGTGACGTAAGTCAGGGTCATGTCAAGTATTATTGTCACTACTATTGTTATGACCCCAAAATGCATTATTATGAGCAAACATATGAAGGCGGAGAGATAATAATCATAATAGTAATAATAATTCATATGCATTGTGCTAAGATATACATAAAAATATAAAAAAATATTCAAATTTATTACAAATTAAAATATTGTTTTATCCAATAAGCTGACAATGACTGTTACTAATGGGTGAAATTTTCTAATAATAATAATAATCACACGAGTATATATATCACAGCGATGTTGAATGACAATGTCTCAAGGTATCATGATTTGAATGCATAATACGAATGCAGGTTACTCATCCATCTGAAAGCTGTTTCAAGAGCATCTTCAGTGAAATGTTGTTCCATGTCAAATTGTCTTCTCTACGTAATAAACAGATAAAAAATTATTGTATATCTACATATATCTAGGCTAGGCCATTTTAGAAATAAATGATATATGTATGTAACTTTTAGTTGGATATTTCAAATATAATTTTCACATAGAATGACTTCTCTATACTCGGCGCTCAATTACTGTCAAACTATTCGTTCTAATCTTGACGAATATTCGTATAGATTTTAGTTGGATAGTTTGAGAGATATACCACATTTTAACCTGATCCTATTTTAAAGTATGTTTAAACTTGAAAGTTTGCAATTATATTGCCAATAAATATGTTGAAGTATTCACATCACCATAATCATCATCGCATGTTCACTAATAATGACTAACTTCGAGAACTTTTGGAGTTCTAGTGAGAAGCTACAACCGGTGGAATACCAAAACATAGGTTTTGAAACGTGTTGATTGTTGTAGTTGCTACTACCTGACTGTTTATTTTGAATAAAGTTTCAGTTACGAGTTGGAATCACCCGAAAAAATAGGGAGTATTGGACGACTACTTTGTCAATCGATTAGAACTCTACAGTAGAATGCAACCACGATCACCAACAGAATTGATAGAGATACCTTTTAATCCCGTACATTCACAATATATATCCATATATGCATATGTGTTCTTATTGACTTTCAGAGTTTATTTAAGAGGAGATCAAATAATTAGTGATGAATCATAGATTGTCCCAGTCTTATTAATTTCACATCTCTTTTCAAGATGAGTAGTCTAATGTTTCAAATTAGAACAAAATTTTGTGCAATTATTATTTTGATAATGGCGCTTTGAATACAATAAACATTTGATAATCTAACTTGTTTCAACATGTTTTTCATTCATCAGTAATTGATCGTTTATTCAAACTAAATACTACATTACAATCAAAGACTTTAACTGATACGTTTTGTAGGAAACTTAAAAAGGATATTTATGTTGCTTGTATCCTAACAAAGTAACACAGATAAATGCCTTCTCCCCAATAGATAGATAGCCATGGTCCACATTAGTATAGTGAAGGCATTGAAAGGACAGTTTATTAATCGAGTAGTTGGTGGGCTGTTGATACAATCCAGTTGTCTAAACTGGATTTCGGATAGTTTAACAGCTGAGGTATATGTTTGTTTTAGTGAATATACTTTGAATATAAGTGGAAGTTGTTAGACTAATGGTAGAAAATAAGTACATTGGATAATTGCATTGCTTCATTTTTCTAAAGAATTCTCTTTTTAGTGGATATTTTAATCATTTACTTTGAGAAGATATGTTGCACAATAAAGTGAGTAAACAAATTACATTTATTCATAAAAAATGAACAGGTAATATATACCTTGATGTTTAGGTGAAGTTGCTGGTGTTATACAACTTTCACTGCTAACTGATGAGTTTTTTGACAACTTTCGATCTAAAAGTTTCTGCGGGAAAAAAGGGAAAAAAATTTCATTTGTGAAAATGAATTTAACTGATTAAGTAGGAATTAGTGCATTCAATTTCTAATAATACGTTCTGTGTACATATGACCTCTAATGATACTTGTTGTTATTTCACTCATCTATATTAACAATAAATTCATTATCACCGTTCTTGTAATCGTTTACACGATTGATAGGTCATATAAGCTCCCGCCTACTTGAACATTTACCAGGAACAAAATGTATCGGGAATCCTCGAAGATTCGTTAGAAAAGTATTGCAAAGATAGAAAAATGTTGTGAATCCTTGGATCAATCATCATTCTTTAAAAACCTTCGTATGGAGCTACAACCATCACCAAAAATGTACATGTATTTATAAATAATTGTGTACGCGAGATACTCCGGATTCGATGGCCGAATATAACACCAACAACAATATACTGTGGCAGAGAACAAGCCAGCTTCCATCTGAACACAAAATTAGGAAAAGACACCTGAAATGAATAGGACAAACATTGCGGAAATTATCAAACTCCATCACAAAGCCAGTCCTACCTTGCAATCTTCAAGCCAAAGGAAAAAGAAGCACGCTAAAAAACACATTGAGCCAGAAATTGGAGGCAGATATCAAAAGAATGAGTCACACTTAGCAACAGCTGGAAAGGAGCGCCCAGGAAAAACTGGGTTGGAGAATTCTGGTCGGCGGCCTATGCTTCTCCACGACAGGTAAAAGAAGGTTGGTACGTAAATGTTAAACCACTGAATCAGGCAAGAAGTTCATTGAAATAACAGGTTCGTAAGTGGATACACTTCGGAAAACAACCATTCCAGTCACCTAAGTCCATTTTTGGTCTTATACTACAAGTTCGTTAAATAAACAATTAGAGTTCAATTATTTAATCAACTCACATATATAAGATAATTGGTGTGATGAACTCTTAGTTGACTATCTTCATGTGATAATGAACTAGGTTTTAAGAAATTTATGATAGTGAATTTCGATGAAGCTCTAGAGCATGTAGGTTGGTGGCAGGTCATGTTTATTAGAAATCACCCGTACTTAAGTCTTAACGAGTGACTGTCTTATGAAATCGACACACTAACCAAGCACATATCGCTTACAATCTAAACTGTTTGTTGGCTTAACTATTTACATTTTCAAGTAATGAGGCAAATAAAGTTCTCAATGACCGTCTGATAGTAACGATTCTAGTTGTGAGAAACTCTAACTTATCCCTTATGGATCAAAAAACCCGTTCTGAAAAAAATTATTCCGTTCAACCCACATACAACACGTAAACAAATCTATTTCCGCATGATTCATTCAGTACCACTGTTGCTCGGTTTGATATAATCTCAACATGAGGAACATGTTAATGGACTGTAGTAAATATCACTACTTGGTAAGAGTAGCCACAACACTGAATAACCACCAATGATGATATCTCTTCCCTAGTCATGTGAAATTTTTGGAAGCATATATTTATTTATTTAAACATATATTATTTGGAAGAATAGTCTATTGACTCAGACATCACAACAGATACCTCAGGATAAGATTTCAGCAACCACATACAGGTGTTATCCGGCTGTTTCTATACTACACAATACTCAACAATGTTCAGGAAAAGCTTCACTGACAACTAAGAAGGAGAACTAAAACTATTAATACCAATAATACATATTCCCAACTTCAATTAATTGATGATTTAGAGTGACAATAACAATAAGTAAAGTAAGTGAGTAAGCGAGTAAGTGAGTAAAGATGAACCAGTTAACTCTGGTTGATTTCATCCTCTTGAAAAAAAGTCATGCATATTTTAATAAAGTCCTTCATTTCAATATGCTATACAATGATATATGTAAGGAAATATATGACTAACTTTATATTTAGTTACTGTGCTCAATGCTAAAGACTTTTCCATTTCCAACGATTGGATTTGCTCTTTCAAGATTCTGGCATAAAAAGGATAGTAGAGCGAGAAAATGATAATAAAAATTCAATCAATTTTGAGAAAATTTCTGAAGTAAATTGATTAGACGCTCACATAAAAATATATGTAAAAGCCAAACTCACAATTAATTGGAAATCCCAAATATCCTTGTAAAAATCGAGGGTGGGATGAGTCAGTTCTTCTTTCTAAAATACATTTACAAAGCTACACGTTGGCAACCTCTGCTAAGAAAATCCTACTTATTGTTTTCATGAAGTGGAGTGTTTTACGAAATTGAGAGGGTTGGTATGTACAGAGAGTCTGTCTATAGATATCGAAGAACCCTGATTCTACTAAATCAATGGTGTGCATAGGCTCCAAGATCCTAAGGGAACAAGTGGCATATGGAATTACTCTGATCGCAAGCTACCACGGAACTGTATCTCCTGACATTGCATTGCTGTCTTATGGATTATTCCTCTGGGGCAAAGGCCTGGTAAGTGGTCTACCACCTGATTCAGTATAAGTGCCCGAGCAGTATTCTATCGCACTCACAAATATGATGATTAATAATTATGAAGTAAATGATTTATTGTTTGGCGTATACATTTTTGGTGCCCAGTTGTGACAAATTTTATGAGTATTAAATAAATAAATAGAGAATAGAGCAGCTTGTTTACCAAGTAATAAATTACCAAACTCGGATTTCGATCACGCTAGATGTATACATGTGATTGTTAGTGATGCTACGCGACTGGCAAAACCAACACAAGTAGAGTAGATTTCGGACATGTGACCTACGCTTGACGCTCAATCTGAGTAGTGCTCTGTTATAAATATACCACTCACGAGGGTAATTTTGCAATGGTTTTCAGGAGATCCAGGAGCCCTCTATATTCTTTACAACCTGAACAGAATAGCGCAAGCATACATGTACCAAGAGTCATACTGGACCACCACAAAGCTTTGCCAACAAACAAAAAAGGCAAAACACAAGAGATTTAAAGCACATTAGATGATGATGAATTGACAAGGTCCATATCGTTCGATGGATTTTCAAAAAAGGAGATAAACGTTTTATATTAGGGTCAGACTGAAGACAGGAAATGATCTCTTCAGGTGAAATGTTTCAGAAATATAACTTCCAATGAAGAGAAAGCTATCCAGTAGTGAATCCATAAAATGTAAGCAGTGATTGGTTGGTGAGTGAAGACAGAAAAGATAGGATGTATCACACACGATCGACAGACTAATATTGCGAATGACTTTATCGCATTCAGTATTTACGCCAGTTATTTTGGATATTGACAGCTAATTTGTTGGTCGGATAGGTGTGTTTGTAGTTTTGTGATTCAGTCATATATCCACACTATACAAATGGTGAGATCATGAACGTATATAAATTAGACAATCAGTGAAAAAATGGAAACATTGGACAGCTGTTTCGTTTTAGTAAGGGACAACTAATCAGCAGTTTGTCAGTCAGTTGGTAACAACGTAGAATTTCGTACGTACGTACGTACATCAGTTCGAGTTGCCACACCACATTAGCACACAGATGCAGTGGTCGATTCAAATCCCGTAGTGGTAGAGATAATAAGAGTATAAGCAGTAATCAGGAAAATTAGTGTTTGGAGATGTTATTTAAAGAGTATAATACAGTGAAATAAATTTGGAAAGAGAAAAAAGAAAGGGACATGAAGAATTTAGAAGATTAGAATTTGGGAGAACACAGAGAGTGGATGCACCTGCATCATTGCAAATGATTTTGAGCCATGTCATTCAGGGTCTCTAACCATCGGTTGCTATCATCTCGCGGTAGTCTACACCTACCAACATGACTCAGTCCACTTGTCAGTGACTTCATGGACTTGTGCGATGTTTTGGTCTGGCCGCCCCTAGCTTTCTTCCAACCTACTCCTATACCACTGAACATCGCACGTCGAGGCAGTCGGTCGTTGGGCATACGTAACACGTGTCCCAGCCATCTCAACTGATGAAGTTTCACTACGTCATCAATTGATTTGCCATCCTTACCTAGTACCCGTTTCCTGACAGCTGCATTACTTACTCGATAGTCCCAGGATATACGAGCAATATTTCGAAGACACCTATGATCGAATACTAGTAGCCTATGAATATCCTCTACTCTTACCGGCCATGTTTCACTGCCATAAAGTAGGACGGAACGAACTGCTGCGCAGTAAACCCGTCCTTTGGTTGATAGACGGATATCTCGCCTGCGCCATAAATGACGCAAGTTGGTAAAAGCTAGTCGAGTCTTCTGTATCCGTGCTGAGATTTCGTCACACGCCAGACCACAAGGGCTGATGAGACTTCCAAGATAAGTGAAGCGATCGACACGCTCAATTACTTCACTCCCTATAATTAGTTCTGGTGTCAATGCAACCCAATCCTGAAGCAACATTTTGCATTTCGAGGGGGAGAATCGCATCCCGAACATGCTTGCATTGTTGCTTAGAGTGGTCAGAAGACTCTGCATTTTGTCAGCGTCTTCACCAAATAGAACTATGTCACCAGCATATTCTAAGTCAACAAGTGAACCTCCCGGTAGAAGTTCAACCCCTGAAAATCTAGACGAGGAAAGTGTTATCTCTAAAAGTACGTCGACGACAAAGTTGAACAAGAATGGAGAGAGTGGGCAGCCCTGACGAACACCACTCGAGGTTTTCAATTCTTATGACAGTTCGCCATAAGCTCTCACTCTACCAGTTGTGTTCGAGTATAGAGCCTTTATAAGGTTAATGTACTTCTTTGGTACTCCTTTCAGTGACAAACACTGCCATAGAACCTTACGATCAACAGAGTCGAATGCCTCCTTAAGGTCGATAAATACTACCATTGTGGGGCGTCTGAATATGTGTCTAAGTTCCAGAACCTGACGTAGTGTGAATATCTGATCTATACAACCACGTCCAGGTCGAAAACCAGCCTGATTTTCTCTAGTCTGTTCTTCACGAGCTTTGGTTAGGCGTCGAAGTATTATTGAAGCTAATATTTTAGATACTATATTTGTCAAACTGATTCCTCTGTGATTGTCACAAGAGGACTTTTGTCCTTTCTTATAGACTGGCACAATCAGTGATTGAGACCAGTCAGATGGGATTACGCCCAGTTCCCAAATTCTACCTAAGACCTCAGTTAATCTCACTGCTAATACTGAACCATCATCCTTAAAAATCTCAGGAGTAAACCTGTCAGGGCCTGCTGTTCTCCCTCGCTTCAAATTTCCCATGGCTTTTTCAACTTTGTAAAGAGTTGGAGGACCTACACTAACTTGCCATTCAGGTTGACTGGAGATCGTGGGAAACTAAAGTGTGACTGAAGGCCAGTTGAACTGATCCCTAAAGTGTTCTGCCCATCGATCCAATCTCCTGGATTGAGAATGTATAATATGTCCATCTTTCTCTGAGAGTGTTTCGCTAACAGTCGGTTTCCTAATACCGGTTTCCTTAACAAGTCTGAACAACTGTCTGCTATTACATATTGCTGCTGCCTTTTCCATCTCTCTTGCTTTCGCTACCCACCACTGTTCACGATCATTGAGTAGACTTCTTGTCAGCTTGCGCTTAAGTTGACTCCGCTCTTCATTATGTTCAGAGCCAGGTGGAATGAGTTCCCGAGCATCTATCAGTGCGATAGATGCTGCTGAGATCCAGTGTTGCTCCCTAACCTTACGGGTTACCGTACTAGCAGATATCACTGCTGTTTCCACAGCTTTTCGGATATAATTCCATGCTGCCTCGGGGTGGGCATCACATACATGGCTGCCTAACTATTTTCCTAGTTGTTCCTGAAATATACTCTTAGCTTGACTATCATTAAGTAGGCCCCTAAGAGGTTTACTTGCAGCGTCTTTCCTACGTCCAGTAAGACGCAGGCAAATACGCGCTCGTACTAGAGCATGATCTGAATCTAAACACGCGCTCCAGAATGAGCGACAGTCTTCTATCGAGCCCCTCCATCGGTGGCTGATAGCGATGTGATCTATTTGGGTCCAACGTTGGGACGAATTAGGGGGTCGCCATGTTAAAAGATGTTTTTCCTTATGCTTAAAGTTAGTATTTACAAGGAACAGGCGGTTATCTGAGCATAGCTGCAACAGACGGTCGCCATTATCTGTTCTTTGAGTCACGATGCTATAAGATCCACCCAGGTGTCTTTCCCTATCGCTTAGTTTACCTACTTGAGCATTAAAGTCACCGGCCATTATTACTACATCCGAGCACCTAGCTTTTCGGAGAAGGTCGGAGAGCTTTCTGTAAAACTCATCTTTTACATCATCTGCACTGCAGTCAGTGGGAGAATAGGCAGAGACGACGAAGAGGTAACGACGAGTGTCCCTACCTTTTCGGATCCTCACTGTTCCGTTTGGTCGGACAGCGCACAAACGACTGTCTACTGGGATCCACTCTAAGAGAGCTAGTTCTGCCCTAGGACTCAATGCTATACCTACGCCGGCGAGGCCACGGGAAGCAGAAGCAGGGCTTCCAGATACACGAAGTGTGAATGAAGTCGGTTCTTTATTTTGGCATGGTGAGGTCAAGTGAATGACGCCACTCGGATCCTGTATGCGCGTTTCGGAGACGCAGCACACATCGATGGCGCGAGATTCTAAAGTCCTAGCTAAGGAAGCCTGCTGTCCTATTTGGCACAGTGTTCGGACGTTAAAAGCTCCTACGTGTAGTTTAGAGCGTGGTTTCAGGAGACCAGGAATAACGTTCCGCGTACTCAAATCGTTTGCCCTAGCAGTGCGAGGTGATAAAGAGACGTGAGGAGGGTTGGTCACGGAGATAAGAGAGGTATTAGGAGGTGTAGGAAGGATTTGAATGTGACCAACTTGGTCTCGTGTGCTGTTACGGGTATGAGGGCTGATGTCACTTCCCGGCTGCCCACACCGTGGAAGGGTATTTCTTGAGGAACCTGAAAAGGAAATTGGATTAGTGTTGATCTTGACGACTTGGGAGCGTGACCGCAGAGCCCAAGGGCCAACTGCTTGAGGCCTGTCGCGCACGGCCTTTTTGTGGAAGGTTTTTGACGTGTTAGCTCCGTTCTTCAAAGGGCCTTACCGCCGCAGACGGAAATCCGTGACGTAAGATGAGGTGTGACATTTTTGGGGTCGAAATTTTCTAACCCCACCCCTCCTTGTGGGAAGGCAGCTGCACTGCAGATGCTGGTTGTCTGAGGGAATCACCTTACTGCTATCACAACCCTCTACAGTCAGCAGTACGACTTCGCTCTCAGACCTTGAGTCACACCTCACCTCACCTCACGGATTTCCGTCTGCGGCGGTAAGGCCCTTTGAAGAACGGAGCTAACACGTCAAAAACCTTCCACAAAAAGGCCGTGCGCGACAGGCCTCAAGCAGTTGGCCCTTGGGCTCTGCGGTCACGCTCCCAAGTCGTCAAGATCAACACTAATCCAATTTCCTTTTCAGGTTCCTCAAGAAATACCCTTCCACGGTGTGGGCAGCCGGGAAGTGACATCAGCCCTCATACCCGTAACAGCACACGAGACCAAGTTGGTCACATTCAAATCCTTCCTACACCTCCTAATACCTCTCTTATCTCCGTGACCAACCCTCCTCACGTCTCTTTATCACCTCGCACTGCTAGGGCAAACGATTTGAGTACGCGGAACGTTATTCCTGGTCTCCTGAAACCACGCTCTAAACTACACGTAGGAGCTTTTAACGTCCGAACACTGTGCCAAATAGGACAGCAGGCTTCCTTAGCTAGGACTTTAGAATCTCGCGCCATCGATGTGTGCTGCGTCTCCGAAACGCGCATACAGGATCCGAGTGGCGTCATTCACTTGACCTCACCATGCCAAAATAAAGAACCGACTTCATTCACACTTCGTGTATCTGGAAGCCCTGCTTCTGCTTCCCGTGGCCTCGCCGGCGTAGGTATAGCATTGAGTCCTAGGGCAGAACTAGCTCTCTTAGAGTGGATCCCAGTAGACAGTCGTTTGTGCGCTGTCCGACCAAACGGAACAGTGAGGATCCGAAAAGGTAGGGACACTCGTCGTTACCTCTTCGTCGTCTCTGCCTATTCTCCCACTGACTGCAGTGCAGATGATGTAAAAGATGAGTTTTACAGAAAGCTCTCCGACCTTCTCCGAAAAGCTAGGTGCTCGGATGTAGTAATAATGGCCGGTGACTTTAATGCTCAAGTAGGTAAACTAAGCGATAGGGAAAGACACCTGGGTGGATCTTATAGCATCGTGACTCAAAGAACAGATAATGGCGACCGTCTGTTGCAGCTATGCTCAGATAACCGCCTGTTCCTTGTAAATACTAACTTTAAGCATAAGGAAAAACATCTTTTAACATGGCGACCCCCTAATTCGTCCCAACGTTGGACCCAAATAGATCACATCGCTATCAGCCACCGATGGAGGGGCTCGATAGAAGACTGTCGCTCATTCTGGAGCGCGTGTTTAGATTCAGATCATGCTCTAGTACGAGCGCGTATTTGCCTGCGTCTTACTGGACGTAGGAAAGACGCTGCAAGTAAACCTCTTAGGGGCCTACTTAATGATAGTCAAGCTAAGAGTATATTTCAGGAACAACTAGGAAAATAGTTAGGCAGCCATGTATGTGATGCCCACCCCGAGGCAGCATGGAATTATATCCGAAAAGCTGTGGAAACAGCAGTGATATCTGCTAGTACGGTAACCCGTAAGGTTAGGGAGCAACACTGGATCTCAGCAGCATCTATCGCACTGATAGATGCTCGGGAACTCATTCCACCTGGCTCTGAACATAATGAAGAGCGGAGTCAACTTAAGCGCAAGCTGACAAGAAGTCTACTCAATGATCGTGAACAGTGGTGGGTAGCGAAAGCAAGAGAGATGGAAAAGGCAGCAGCAATATGTAATAGCAGACAGTTGTTCAGACTTGTTAAGGAAACCGGTATTAGGAAACCGACTGTTAGCGAAACACTCTCAGAGAAAGATGGACATATTATACATTCTCAATCCAGGAGATTGGATCGATGGGCAGAACACTTTAGGGATCAGTTCAACTGGCCTTCAGTCACACTTTAGTTTCCCACGATCTCCAGTCAACCTGAATGGCAAGTTAGTGTAGGTCCTCCAACTCTTTACGAAGTTGAAAAAGCCATGGGAAATTTGAAGCGAGGGAGAGCAGCAGGCCCTGACAGGTTTACTCCTGAGATTTTTAAGGATGATGGTTCAGTATTAGCAGTGAGATTAACTGAGGTCTTAGGTAGAATTTGGGAACTGGGCGTAATCCCATCTGACTGGTCTCAATCACTGATTGTGCCAGTCTATAAGAAAGGACAAAAGTCCTCTTGTGACAATCACAGAGGAATCAGTTTGACAAATATAGTATCTAAAATATTAGCTTCAATAATACTTCGACGCCTAACCAAAGCTCGTGAAGAACAGACTAGAGAAAATCAGGCTGGTTTTCGACCTGGACGTGGTTGTATAGATCAGATATTCACACTACGTCAGGTTCTGGAACTTAGACACATATTCAGACGCCCCACAATGGTAGTATTTATCGACCTTAAGGAGGCATTCGACTCTGTTGATCGTAAGGTTCTATGGCAGTGTTTGTCACTGAAAGGAGTACCAAAGAAGTACATTAACCTTATAAAGGCTCTATACTCGAACACAACTGGTAGAGTGAGAGCTTATGGCGAACTGTCATAAGAATTGAAAACCTCGAGTGGTGTTCGTCAGGGCTGCCCACTCTCTCCATTCTTGTTCAACTTTGTCGTCGACGTACTTTTAGAGATAACACTTTCCTCGTCTAGATTTTCAGGGGTTGAACTTCTACCGGGAGGTTCACTTGTTGACTTAGAATATGCTGGTGACATAGTTCTATTTGGTGAAGACGCTGACAAAATGCAGAGTCTTCTGACCACTCTAAGCAACAATGCAAGCATGTTCGGGATGCGATTCTCCCCCTCGAAATGCAAAATGTTGCTTCAGGATTGGGTTGCATTGACACCAGAACTAATTATAGGGAGTGAAGTAATTGAGCGTGTCGATCGCTTCACTTATCTTGGAAGTCTCATCAGCCCTTGTGGTCTGGCGTGTGACGAAATCTCAGCACGGATACAGAAGACTCGACTAGCTTTTACCAACTTGCGTCATTTATGGCGCAGGCGAGATATCCGTCTATCAACCAAAGGACGGGTTTACTGCGCAGCAGTTCGTTCCGTCCTACTTTATGGCAGTGAAACATGGCCGGTAAGAGTAGAGGATATTCATAGGCTACTAGTATTCGATCATAGGTGTCTTCGAAATATTGCTCGTATATCCTGGGACTATCGAGTAAGTAATGCAGCTGTCAGGAAACGGGTACTAGGTAAGGATGGCAAATCAATTGATGACGTAGTGAAACTTCATCAGTTGAGATGGCTGGGACACGTGTTACGTATGCCCAACGACCGACTGCCTCGACGTGCGATGTTCAGTGGTATAGGAGTAGGTTGGAAGAAAGCTAGGGGCGGCCAGACCAAAACATCGCACAAGTCCATGAAGTCACTGACAAGTGGACTGAGTCATGTTGGTAGGTGTAGACTACCGCGAGATGATAGCAACCGATGGTTAGAGACCCTGAATGACATGGCTCAAAATCATTTGCAATGATGCAGGTGCATCCACTCTCTGTGTTCTCCCAAATTCTAATCTTCTGAATTCTTCATGTCCCTTTCTTTTTTCTCTTTCCAAATTTATTTCACTGTATTATACTCTTTAAATAACATCTCCAAACACTAATTTTCCTGATTACTGCTTATACTCTTATTATCTCTACCACTACGGGATTTGAATCGACCACTGCATCTGTGTGCTAATGTGATGTGGCAACTCGAACTGATGTACGTACGTACGTACGAAATTCTACGTTGTTACTGACTGACTGACTGTTCTCCAATTGACCTGCCTGGCATGGCAGAACCTACAGAAACATATGTTTCAGCCAATATAGCTCCTTTGGGTCATCACGATAGGAATGCCCGACCACCGCGTCAAGGTAGCAGCTTCGGTCGGGGTTTGTGGATCTCAGGATCTTCGGTCTAGTGCGCAAACACTTAACCTCTAAATCATTGGGGCAGAATCCAGTGGTGTAGACGTCTAACTTCAATTAATGAGTGATATCTCTCAGTCGCCTTCTATTGTCTTCAGTGGATACCTTGCTGGAAGTTGATAAGTTTGAACTCCACTAGTCGTAGTTTCTCAATAGAATTTCGGACATGCACATCACTGGATTCGGATTCGTTGTCTCAATAATATTCAATAATCTCTTCCCCCTATACTAATAATTACACTCTAGTTTGTAAGTATTACAGCGGAACACTAGAAACAAGTCCACTAGGCACTAAAGTGTGCAGTGCTTCATTACTGAAAATCCGTTAAGTACAATATTACGAAATTACAATAGCCATAAGGCTAATGAGAAATATGATGATTACTCACTCACCTGCTTTCAGTTATTAAGGTATCGATATCTTGAATTTTTCGTTCATCTCCACTTAAAATATAATTTAATTCATTGTTCAGTCGATCACATTTATTACGATATATATCTCGTTCCGTTGCAATTTCTTGCTTCTCATCAAAACATTGCCCCAATTCGCGTTTGAGTTCAGAAACCTTTAAGAGAAATAGGTTGAATTCCTTTTTTAGAAAAAGCAACGTCAAACTGACAAAGTAGTGAACACAATGTAGTACAGTCTATTTGTCGACAAAATAAGAAGGGGTTGTATCCGAAAAAAGTAGACCTATGGCTTGGTACATGGCCTAGATTTTTAATTACTAGGATCAGATCCTTGGCTTGCATCAATTTAGTTCACTCAGTAGAGTATTACGAGCTCCTGACAGAGAAAAGTTATATTACAGTAGAAGGTTGGTTTGTAAGTGGGGTACGACATACAGATAGTACGTTTGTTGATGAAGTTCTGAAATCATTATTGACTGATATGGTTAAAACAGCTGTTACGCACGCCCAATCGCCATTAATCTCTACATACTATAGCGGAAAGCATAGGAACTGAGTTAAAAAGAAATAAAGGGTGAACAGACAAAAACAGTGTCAATCTAAATGGTCATAGTCTATCTATTTGGACAAAGCGCTAAAGGGCATTAATATAGATGTATTCGTTCTCAACCATCTTACAAATTTTCAGTTCTTATGTATTTATTCTTATTGTTTAAATTCTCGACTGCATTCGTTTAATTTTGAAATTCATTTTCTATGTTAAGTTTTGGTCGCACCACTCATGTCATTATTCCTACTGTTTTTCTCGTGTTTATTGTCGTATTATCTGTTTCTTTCATTATATGGATACAAAATTTGATGATTTGAACCGGCATACACGTTGTTTGCAAATAAGTGGTTGGGAAGCTGCACAACTAATAAGTTGTGTCACTACATATCGAAATTTCGTAGCAGTAGAGTGTATTCGTTTATAAAATTTCTTAACCTGAACAGTAAAATAAATCTTTAATACATAATTTGTTGACAGGACTAAACTGTAGAAAGGCATAACACAATATGACATAGGTTATATATGCTGGTTCTAATTTCATTTATTTATTTATTTGAACACATAAATATTGGTACAATAAAGCGCCAAATATATATGCGCCACACAAAACAATGAGAATTCGAAGAGAAATAGAAAAAAAAGAGAACAACAACCAAGAGATTGGTGTAAGGTAGTGTGGTAGTAATGAGGGGACGCAAACGTACAATCGGAAGAAATCTTTCAGGTAAGGGAGACACAACCACTTTTTATGAAGAAAGTAAAAGAAGATTACAGCAGGATCGCCACTGGCTTCTATTTTGAGCCATATATGATGACGTCTCTAGCCACTGTGTTGCACCATCTCTCGGACCCCAACCAGGGAGTCGTGAAGGATCAACACAAGCCAGTCCTTTGCAGCTTTCTTTCATACCACCACACCATGTCATGCACTGACCACCTCTCCGCTTCTTCCAACCAGTCCCAGAGTCGGCAAATAATGCACGACGTGGAATTCTCTGGGACGACATTCGGAGAACATGTCCAAGCCACCGAAGTCGGTGTTTCAAGATGGTGACACCAATTGAATTATCATCTCTGTGCCCGAACACACGATGCCGAACCTCTACATTACTGACATGGTGTTGCCACTGAATGTCAGCAATCTTTCGGAGACAGCGATGATCGAACACAGAGAGTCGTCTAACATCCTCAACTCGGAAAGACCAGGTTTCACAAGCATAGAGAAAAACTGCTCTCACCGACGCGTTGTAGATCCGACCTTTTACAACCAGACTAACATCACGAAGGCGCCAGAGGTGGCCCAGATTGGCATAAGCCGCTCTGGCTTTCACTATTCGTGCATTGATCTCACCACTCACGCCACAATCAGCACTTATGCAGCTACCCAGATACACGAACTTCTCGACTACGTCTATCTGCTCACCATCCAGGGTGAGTACAGGATTGGAATCCTGCCAGTCTTGTAGAAGTACTTTGCACTTAGAAGATACGAAGCACATACTACACCTACGGACACTGATTGCCAACTAATTAATTGTGGATTGAATGGCTTGGGTATTATCGCACAGTAAGACAATATCGTCCGCATACTCAAGGTCGAGAAGTCTTTCTCCAGGCAACAGATCCACACCACCATTACTTACATTCATCAGAGCTTTTTTCAGAATGTCATCGATGGCAAAGTTGAAGAGGAATGGTGAGATTGGGCAACCCTGCCTAACCCCACTGCTCGAATGGAACAATGGAGAGAGGTGGTTGTATGCCCTCACTCTGCCTGAGGTGTTTGCATATAGGGCCTTTACGGTGTTAATGAACTTCTCAGACACACCCTTCTTCAATAGACCATCCCAGAGAATAGTCTTGTCCAACGAATCGAAGGCAGCCCTGATGTCAAGAAACACTACGGTTGTTGGCCTGTGATAAGTATGACGGTGTTCTGAAATTTGGTGGAGGGTGAAGATATGATCAATACATCCTTGACCAGAACAAAAACCATCCTGCTCCTCGCGAGTCAGTGTTTCTCTGGTTTTGAACAACCTACGAAGTATGACGGAAGCCAATAGCTTGGACGCAATCGGAAGTAGACTTGTCCCCCGATAGTTGTTACAGGAACGACGTGAAGCCTTTTTAAAGATAGGGACAACTATCGACTCATTCCATGATGTTCGAACACTCTCTAGCTCCGAAACCTTTGTAAACAACGTAGTCAGTTCCTTAACCAGAAAGTCACAACCTTCTTTAAAAAGAGCCGGAGGTAAGTCATCTGGACCAGGTGATTTGTAACGCTTCAAGAGTTGGAGTTCCTTGCGGACTTCCTCCTCGTTTGGTGGATCAGTCGTCACCGGTCATGGAGGGCAGGACAGTCTGACCGATGTTGCCGGAGCAGCAGGCCAGTTGAACTGCCCTTCGAAAAATTCTGCCCATCGTCCAAGACGTCGATGGATGTTAGTGATTGGCATTCCATCATCCTCACAGATTGTTTCACTCACACCAGACTTCTTGTTGCCAGTGGCTCGGATGAGTTGGAAGAGCTTCCGGTAGTTACCAGATGCAGCTGCTGCTTCCAGCTCATTAGCACGCTTCGACCACCAGGCTTCTCGGTCCTTACGCAAGCTTTGCCCAATTTCCTTACGTAACATCCTTCGTTTGCCCCCGAATGCCCTGGTACGGCCGAGAGTGGGGAGAGTCCGCTCTCCCTCTCGAAATACTCTCACACGGCCACGCGTATACAGCCTCTGTCAGGGAAGTCCTACTGACTGCCTTCTCGTGGCGGGGGTGTTGTTTACGAAAATGAGAGGACGAACAGCGAATGTCCGGCGCTTTAACCGGATCACAAATCAATGGTGCACATGGGCTCCAGTATCCTGAAGGAACAAATGGCGTATGAACCAATCGTTGGTCACCGGCTACCATGGGACTGCATCTCCTTACGATGCTCCACTGCCTTGTGGGTTAGACCTTTAGGTCAAAGGCTCGGGGAGTGGCCCCCTAAGATAACCACCTGCTTCGGTTCGGGCACCCGTGCAGTATTACAGCCCACACACAAATTGATGAACTCTCTATGCCTATGGAAATTACTTTTCTCGCTTCGAAAAACAAGCTGGTTCTAATTAAGACCTGCATCTATCGTTATTCATCTAGTGTCAAGGTGTTGTAAATGCATAAGATAGATTACCAAAGAATATACAAATTCGAACCATATTGGTTATGTAGTTAGGTGTGTGTGTTAGTCATAAGAAATATACAACCTGGGACATACATGAGTCGACCCAAGTTGTTGCACAAAATGATCAAGAACTATATAAATTTTTTAAGGGAAATTCCACTTGAAAAGGGTGTACAGACACTAGAAAAACATTAAGTACCTGAAAAGTAAGCTCTTCCAACTGAGTTACGTAGGTTTGGCGATCATTTCCAGAAATTCTAGGATCCATTGTGTGCTGGTTTTCACATGAACGATCGCTAAGTTGTCTCCTCAACACCTTAATATCTCCTTGGAGTTCTTCAATTTTTTCGCGAGAATTCATTAGTTCATGTTCTAAACTTTTGTTAGCTTCTCTGCTTTCAACTAACAAAGAAGCAAGCTACAAAACTTCTAGAGGGAAAATGTAACCATATACTTGTTTAGTCGATAAATGCATTATATCAGGGGTAGAATATTGGTTTGCTTTATCACATTCCATAAGAGTTTTTTTAAGCATCTGGTATCGATTCATTACCTAAAAGACGTCGAAGATAGACTAAGAAAATACTTGTTCTGCCATTCTCTTGAACTCATTTCTCTCTTTTTCGCACTTTTCCAATGAGGCGTTCAAAATTGAAACTGCTTGTGTCTTGGCATTCAGTTGCTGAGCAGTCACTGTCAGCTATTAATCATAGTGCTGATATTATAATGTTTTGTAACTCACATCAGTTTTTAGATTTTCCAACTCCAAATGTAGTCTTTCCTCTAACTAAAAATAATTTATGGTAATAAAAGGAAGATTTTCGACCAACCATTTGATTAGCGATGAATAATACAGTCTCTCATATACATATCTGAAACATGAAAAATTCATCGCGTTAACGTCAGCCAAAAATATGGAATATGTAGAATTTTATAGTGTTTTTGGGCTACTTATTTTTTAAATTTTAAAAGATTGCATATGCAGTCTCATTTTCAGGGAGCTGATATCAATCAATAATATTTGGTAACCGTATTATGCATTCATGTAGTTACATGGAGTATCCAACCTAACCGCAAAAATCGAAAGTCATAGTAGATGGTGGCATAGTCTTTAAAGGAATGAGGGGTTATCACATGCGTTTTCCTGAAACAACAAGTCCAAGCTTTACATATTTGACGGAAGAAATGGATTATTTCAGTCTGCAAATATGTAAATTAAATCACAAGAAAATTCATGATGATAACTCATAGTTAAATGTACACGGCTTTAGGCTACAGTATAATTGTGAGGACTAGTAATACTTTTCGGGTGCCCAAACCGAAGTAGGTGGAACGGGATCCGAACCAGTGAATTAATGACTGAAAGTCGGAGGCCATTCAGTCAACATGAAAAAATATAGAGGATATGTTGCCACCGTCGTGAATATACTTTAGTGTGCATCAAATTTCTAGATGATTTCGATGATTTTCGGTATAGATAGTTGGAACAATTATTGTTATGCATTTGCTGTAAACATTTCTGTGACTCCTAACATAAGACCAACTGTACTACCCGTTTACATTAATAAAGATACTGCATATCCTCCTACTATTTTCAGCGCTTTATTATCAATAATATATAATGATAGCAGTTCGTGTGAATGTGGCTTCATTAGATCTTCTAATAATAAAAAGCAATGTTGAGATTAGTATGCGACTTCATACTTCTCTTCGAACCTGATCTTTTCAACGATTCAAAAATACACAAACCGCATAAGTGCGACTCTTTTGAATGTACATTATATTTTTGTTAAATTACACGTTACACTACATAAGTTCATTCATTAATCGGGAAGTTTGCCAAAATGGAACTTGTTTTCCTATAGTTCACTGGATGATATCAGTCCAAATAACACCCTTCATCTCACAGTTTATTCAAACAGTCATTTGGTCATAAAATTTACTGATACCCTATATATTGAGATGTATGTCAAGTTGGACTGAAGTACACATGGTAGATCTAGGAGTACACAAAGGATAGATGCATGTGGATTACTGCAACCGATTTCGAGCCACTTCACCTAAAGTCTCAAATTATTGGTCATCATAATCTCTTAAACCCTATCTAGGTTGTTTATATCTACTAACATGGTTCAGAACAACAGCTAAGAACCTCACGGACTAATATCACGTCTTTTATTTGGTCCCTTACCCAACTTTTTTGAAATATTACAGAAACGAAAGTCATGCTTCGAGGTAATTAGTGGTTGAGCATACATAACGAATGCTCGAACCATTTCTGTTTGGAAACGTCCAGTTTCATATCTGCCTAATGTTTGGGTTCTTCTGCTGCTTCCGTTATTCCGTTGGATTTAAATCTTGGTTTGGCCTTAGATGTGACAAGTAGCTTCTGTAGGTTTATTGACTGAGTATATCTACGAATCTTTGGTCATTCTAGTTGACATATTACTTAAAAATTTAGATTAAATTACTAAAGCTGGACAGGATTATATTCGATTTTTCACTAAATATGACAGATTCAGCACCCTTTTTCGATACTTATAAGAAGTTATGATCATTTACTTTGGGATCAACGTTGATTGGTACCTGGATTTTGCAAGGGAAATCCACCTAAAAACATTAGGTAATTTTTTAACTTTTGGGTTGGATAAGAAATTTACAATCAGAAAGAATATGGAGTGGGATTACGCTTCACTCCATCTGGATGGAAGCCTGTAAAAGACGGTGTGCAACAAGTTACTCACTTAAGTCTCTTGATATTCCTACTCTACGTTAACGAATCGCTATAAATGTTTAGATCATCACTTATATGCAGATGGTATAAACGTCTAGAGGGTAATACATAGTGAAACCGATATGCTGGAGCAGCAAACTGATCTAAATGAACTAGTTAGGTGGTCTAGGAATCAATGTTTGGGAACAAACTCTCATAAAAAATGTAGATTCAAATGGGACACAACAATAACCAACAATACACTATTGATGCGATGCCAATCACGTTTTAGGATAAAAAGATCTATGTGTAATTGTAAGTCATGACTTGAGGACAACTACACTGCAGTTCAGCAGCTGATAAAAGGTTTCATGTGTTATGTGTACTTCGCAGAGCCTTTAGAGGCCTTGGCCAAGAAATGTTTTGAAGTTGATAATTACTGGGCTTCCCATATATTGACAGAAAGGGAACATAAATATGAAGTACGCGTTTTGTTATTTAAAATTTCTGCATGTGATGATACATATTGAGCTTCAGTTAGTCAGTTATAATCAAAGTAGAGACCAGTACAGATGGGTGTTAATCCAAGTTCCCATATAACCATAGCAAGATGAATAGTTAAGGAGTTAAAATAAAATAGTAGCAACGGTAATGAAGAAGGCAAAACCATGAGAATAAAGTCCGAAATTTAAATAAAACCTGAGTTTTCGCCCAAAATGTATCCAGAACTGGGAGATTGTGCGATAGTCCGAAAATACATAAGCAACAATCCGAAATGTGTCCGTTACCATATACTAGTGACCTACAGACACCCATTATATTTAGAGGACATGTTTCACACACAAACAGTAAAACAGAGAGAAATGCTGGATAGAAAATAAATTCTGGTTGACAAAAGAAAATAACACCTACGTCGCAAACTACACGAGCATTCAACTACTGAAACGACCTAACCAGATACGTTGCATCGGCCTTAAAAGTCGAAACAGGCTATTCAACTTACTTTCAATGGTTAAGATCATAAGTCAATTGAAGCTAGACCACCATGGAAAACCTGGAAGCACTGGACGGCTGTTTCGTCCTATTGTGGGACTCCTCAGAAGTGCGCACCAACGAACCCAGGACCTACTGGTTTCGCGAGCGAGCACTTAACCACTTGACCACTGAGCTGGTATCCAACGGTGTTAATGTCTAACTTCAACCAATCCACAAAGTTGAGCGACACATCCAACATTGTCCTCAACTTACTACTTGGAGAAAACATTTTACAGTAGCTGCACCTACTTCCACAAAGTAAAATCACGGCATCAAAAATGAATGAAACATTTGACTGAGGTAGTTTTATACTAATATGAGCTTCAATAACAATTTAGCTTAGTGTACATTTATAAGTGGTTATGAGTTCAAGGTTTAGATATTTGGTTCAGTGAGCTATGCCAAGCCGGGGTGAGTCCGAATAATTGAAAGAACAGAAAACTGACCCAATTTCGAAAAAATGACTTTAGTACACTGAGTAATCAGTAGTAAAATCTTAAGATCACAAACCTCCTCACAACCTTGAGTATTTAAACTGAGAGCCTATTGACACCGAATGACAATATCAATATCGTTGATTAGTCATCGATCTTTCAAGTAACATTATATTTCGTACGCCAGTGACACATAGAAATGCATACAACTGTTTATTTTAAACTGCTAAATATGTATCAGGAAGTCGGATTACTAAATATCAATGCAGTTCGTAATATCTTGACGAGTTTGTCCATTTAGTTTATCCAACCATAATTTAAAGAACAACCGGCTGACATCAACTTTATTGACGACAGTTTCATCTCCAACTCCACGGGACTTTCTGAAGTGGACCTAAGCGCTGACTTGGTGTTCCGGAAATTGCAGCACTTAAGACTTGACACTTCTCCTGGCCCGGATATGGTTCATCCTGCCATACTGAGGGAGGCAGCCTCAATCCTGGCAACGCCGCTTGGCGTGACGTTTTCACACTCGCTTAGCCGAGGCAAATTACCGGAAAACTGGAAGTTGGCTCACATCACACCAATTTTCAAAGGTGGTCGACGCAATGAACCTTCAAGTTATCGGCCGGTGGCTCTTCTGTCATTACCTTCAAAACTCATGGAGTCCCTGATATGCGACGGTTTAAATGACTATCTACTGTCCTTAAATTTCTTCTCACCCCAACAGCATGGTTTCAGGAAGGGTTACTCTTGTATAACCAACCTGCTGACTGCGGTGGACAAATGGACAAGCATCCTCGATTGCAAGGGAAAGGTTGACGTCATTTACCTTGATTTCTCAAAAGCTTTTGATAAGGTTACCCACTTGTGTCTTATCAACAAGCTCAAACGACTAGGTATCGAACCACTTCTAATCGATTGGCTTACTTCATACCTAAAAAATCTGCACTTTAAGGTTAGGGTTAATTTCACTTTATCTCAGGCTATGGAATGTCCTAGTGGGGTCCCCCAGGGCTCAGTACTAGGGCCTCTTCTCTTCTTGATCTACATAAATGATCTTCCTCAACAGGTAACGTCAGACTTATTACTTTTTGCCGACGACGTGAAACTTTGGAGAGAGATACGCAACCAAGACGATACACAGGCACTTCAGGAGGATCTGACGCGACTTCAAAGTTGGGCAGACGATAACGGACTTACCTTTAACACTTCAAAGTGTAAAGTAGTCCATCTGCGACACGTCGCAAACTACAGTTACAACTTAGGAAACTCCTCTCTAGTAGTATCCCAAGTCGAAAAAGATTTAGGAGTCCTGGTGCCCCATGACTTAAAGTCTTACGCTAACTGTGACAAAAATGCCTTCCGAGCAAACTTTGCACTGGTAACATTGAAGCGCATTTTTGGACAGTTTGACGGACGAACTTTCCATACAATCTTCAATAGTTTCATCCGTCCCCATTTAGAGTACGGAAACATAGTACTCCCCCCCCTCACTCCAAAAGGACAAGGTCACTTTGGAGCGTATCCAACGGCGAGCCACGAAATCAGTTCGAGGACTCAAATCTAAGCCTTACGAAGAACGCCTCCGTTCACTAGACCTTTACCCACTAGAATATAGGCGTCTTAGAGGTGATTTACTAATGGCTTCTAGTATTCTTAACACTTCTGGACATCCTCTTAAACACCTACTTAAGCTTAGTTCGAATAATAACCTAAGGGGTAACACCCAGAAACTGGAAACACAACATAGCAAGACGGAATGTAGACACAACTTCTACTCCTTAAGAGTTGTCAAAAGCTGGAATTCGCTGCCGGCCGAGCTAGTCCAAGCGACTTCTCAGGAGTCCTTCAAGAGGCAACTTGACCTATTCTTAAGGACCAAGGACAGCATCACATTATGATTTACCAATTTCTTTTCCTTTTTTATTGTTAACATATCTAGGTTCCTGCCTGGAGGATTTGGTGATCCCCTGCTACTAGACACGGAAGCCTGTTAAGCGAAAGCTTCTTCTATTCCGTCCACAACCATTTGAACCATTTGAATGTAGGCTGTCCTCTGGATAGTCATCACTATTCACGCTACAAATTACCTGATAACTGCCCTAAGAAAGATGAAGCGAAGATAGTGAGATGAATTTTATGTAGTACACGAAAAATAACAATAGCAATATATATATATATATATATATATATATATATATATATATATACTTCTGATTCATAAGATCGCCTTGCTGGTTTCTTCGATTTTTGATACGGTATCATCAGCAGGGAAGTTCATCTTTATTATCACAGTGTCCATTCGGTTGTCCGAAAAGTCTATGGATTTTTCATTCTGTCCCGCTGCTATTGAATATCGGTGATTTCTTTACCTTCTTTTTTCTAGACTAGTTGTAAAATGTGATCGATAGACGAACCCACCAATAATAAAGAGAAACGCCTACCACCACATTAACTCCTTTTGACCTTGTACTACTGTATCTCTTTATTAACCAATCACAGTTTGATGTCCATTGTAAAACAATATTTGCTTGTTGACTCATTTTTCCTATTCTCTGGCTACTGTTCAGTATGTTATTTGTCTCTGTTTCTCCCTGCATTAACAGACCGTACTGTTTGTTTGTACACTAACGATGTTAATTTATGTTTTAGAAACAGATAAAATTTATCTAGCCAAATAGCTTACTTGTTCTTACTTTGGCCAAACCAAGACTCTGTACTCGGCGGTCTAGAGAATAGCTCAGAATTAGACCTGTAGGAAATTGCTCCCTACAAAGTTTCAAACAGTATCTCATCAAAGTTCCGTACATTGGGTACCTTTAGATGTCTATGGAGAGTCATAAAACTGATCATATTCCTGAATTGTCTCCTCATTATTCAGAAACCCATAGTGAAAACCAGCTCGGAGGAAATACCTACAGAATGGATCCCTTGTTAGAGTTAGAATTAGCTAAAGTACGCTTAGCTCAGACAGAAAAAGATATCCAGCTAGAACGGTTACGCCAAAAAGAAAGAGAACATTATAATCAAGTTATGGTTGACAAGGCGATGACGTATGAGTCTACATCTGTCTCACATGTCGTTGATGTTCCTCCTAGAAAAGACTGGGTAACAACGATGTCTAGAGCTTTAGACCTATCGAAGAAAGAGATTATAAGGTTTGATGGCAACCCTATGAACTATCGGAGCTTCATACGGAATTTTGAGGACTATTTTGACGAGAGCATTGGGTTCCGATCTAGGTTAAACTATTTGATCCAGTACTGTGATGGTGAAGCTAAAAACACTATTATTCATTGCGCATTGCTCGAGCCAGAAGAAAGCTATCGTAAAGCACTAGAACTTCTCGAGGAAGCATTTGGTCAGAAGCATGTAGTAGCCCATGCATTTATTGACAAGATGCTGAACATCCCTGCCATTAAAGGGACCGATCCATATAATTTAAGGAGGTTGTCTCGTGAGATGCATATTTGTGAGCTAACACTCACGCAGATGACTTATGTATCTGATCTTAATTCTACAAGGACTACCGAATGCATGTTTTTAAAATTCCCGTTACACCTGCAAAAAGAATGGGTTAAAGCTGCGTGTAGAATTCTTAAGACAGGTAGAGAACCTTCATTCAAGGACCTTTGCGAATTTGTGAAAGAGCAGCCGGACATTGCTA